ATATAGGATACCAGCACTGCAGGTGGCAGCTTTATCCGCTCATGCCACAGTGCAGGCCCCAGGATTTGTTTTCTCCTTAGGACTGGAGCCTGTGTTGGGGTGAGGAGGCTCCCTGAGAGTGTGTGTGTAGGATGGGGAACGTCCCACTGCCCTTCCAGGAGCAGTTCCCTGTTCCGTTCCTGCAGCCCCTGTGTGTGGGCTGTACCCTGTTCCAGGCCTGAGTGGGGACCGGGCTACAGCAGTGAATGTCATCACACTTCGTCAGCGGGTTTCCCCAGAGTCCCCTAAAATCAAGGCTTCCCAGCTCCGAGGCAGTGGGCTCCAGAGCCCTCGACAACACTGAGACCTCCCCAGAAACCCACAGCAGCTTCCCAGAGCTTGTGGCCTACAACTTGATGGGAAGAGACACGGAGAAAGTTCGTGTGTGAGCAGGGCATCGGGGAGGGAGGACCGAGGTTACAGGGAGAAAGTCCAGACCCAGGTCCGGTTTGGCCCCGGCCGGCCCCTGGACTGACTTTCTCATGTGGGCGGTCACCAGGTGTCTGCAGGACATTGCTGCCATGAATACACAGGCTCTGAAACTGGGGAATCTGACCCTGCCGTCCATCCCCATGTCCGAGGACTGCCTGTACCTCAACATCTACTCGCCTGCCCGTGCCCGTGAGGGCTCTGACCTGCCTGTGAGTGCGGGGCAGGGTCGGCCGGGGTGGGGGGCATTGCCTTCTGCTAGAAGATGAGAAAGCATAGGATGGGAGGGGCCACACGGCATGTGATCTGCTGAGGAGCCTCTCAACATCAGCCAAGAAATGCTTCTTACCCAGGTGGGCACCTGACCCTGAGAGAACGAGTCTCAGAGCCTAGGGGCTCCCGCAAGTCAGAGGCTGTGGCCCTGGGCAGACCTAGGACCCACCCAGCCGCTTGTGCCCAGGAAGACCACTCAGGGGCCCAAGGCCTGCACTTGGAGGTCATCAAAGACCCAGCCATGGACTATCTGAGGGTCAATGCTAATAGTAAAGTAATTGAATCCAAGTGCACTCATGGGACACTTTTGATTAATGTCATGTGGGACAACCAGGGGGACACCCGTTTCCTTGACACCTCACAAGGAGTTCTGGGAGTAATGGAACCAGGCTTTAATGCACAAGATGGAACAAAAAGTATGGAAGGCTAGTTCCTCCTGCTAGACACTGCCCAGACCCTGCCCCCTGCTGGAGCTCTGTCTCCATGAGCAGGTGCACACAGCCAAGTGCTGGTTAGTCCAGGTGGTATCAAGGTGGGTTTAGGCTGGATAAGAGCCTCATGGTATTGGTCTTGACTTTCCCCAGGTGATGGTGTGGATCCATGGGGGTGCGCTGACTACGGGCATGGCTTCCATGTATGACGGTTCTGCCCTGGCAGCATTTGAGGACGTGGTGGTGGTCACCATCCAGTACCACCTGAGAGTCCTGAGCTTCTTCAGGTGAGACCGGGGCTGGGGTGGGCACTGAGGAAGAGTGGCACCAGGACAGCCCTGTGATCCCTGTCCCTGCCACTTCTCAGCACTGGAGACCAGCACGCCGCCGGCAACTGGGGCTACCTGGACCAAGTGGCCGCGCTGCGCTGGGTCCAGCAGCATAACGCCCACTGTGGAGGCAACCCTGGCCGGGTCACCATTTTTGGCGAGTCTGTGGGTGGCCTGAGTGTTCCATGCATGTGCTGTCACCCATGTCCAAGGACTCTTCCACGGAGCCATCCTGCAGAGTGGGGTGGTCCTGCTCCCCCGCTTCATCACGAACTCGTCTGATGTGATCACAGTGAGTCCCCTGCACTGCAGAAGCCCCAACAGCTTCTCCAGGACCTGTGGCCTGTGACTTGATGGGAGAGACATGGGAGAAAGGTCGTGTGTGAGCAGGGCATCGGGGAGGGAGGACTGAGGTTGGCAGGGAGAACCTGGAGAACCGACCTGCTGCCTCACCTCTTGTCTCTTAGCGCCTCTGTTACTCTGTCTATTCACTGAGCCTAGTAAGGACCACTGGGAGCCTCAGAGCTGGCGCCTGCCTGGAATTGTGAAGGGTGGGGGGGTCGGCATTCACACGGCTCTGCATCTGCGGTGATTGAGTTTGCTTGTGCCCTGCCACGCTGTCACCCTGGGGACCTTCAGGGTGGGCACAACCATCTAAGCAGCTGTGCTGGTCACCCTGACTGGTACCTGTGAATTTAGGGGAGTTGGGGCAACATCAAAACTGCACAATCAGGGCCAGCGCTGGGGCTCAGTGGGTTGAAGCTGTGTCTTGCAGCCCCAGCATCCCATATGGGTGCAGGTTCGAGTCCTGGCTGCTCCACTTCCTATCCAGCTCCCTGCTAATACGCCTGGAAAGCAGCAAGGGCCCAAGTCCTAGGGCCCCTCCATCCATGTAGGAGACGCAGAAGAAGCTCCTGGCCCAGTCCTGGCTATTGCAGCCATTTGTGTAATAAACCAGGGGATGACAATCTCTCTCTCTCTCTCTCTCTCTCTCTCTCATGTGTGTGTGTCTCCTCTCTCTCTAACTCTGCCTTTCCAATAAATGAGCAAGTCTTTATAAAAAACATTCATGGAATTAAATCATATTAGTTATTTTTTTAAAAAAAACTGCACAAGTTCTTACAATATCCTGTGATATCCTGGACCAAGTATCCCCCCAGAGAGTCCAGGAGCTGATGGGGGCTGAGCAGAGCAGAAAGAACTGTAGCCGCCTGTGTTAGGCAGGAGGAAGGGCTCAGGAGAAAGTGCCCGCACCACCCGCAGGGACTGCCGGCTGAATCCTCCATCCACGGCCATCCACTCAGCCGGCCCATTCAGCATTCATGCCGCAAACGTGCATGCAGCTACAAAGGTCAAATCAGATACTTAGCGCTCTTTGCTTTAAGGATCCTTGAACTCTGTCTTCTAGTTCTGTTGACATACACGATAAGGAGTAAACTTCAGTCACCCTACCGTGACCTAGAGCTCTACACCCTCTTGCTTCCAGCTGTATTCTGGTAACTGTTACCCAACCTCTGCAGAGGCTTCTCCTCCTGCCTCTCCTACCCGCTGGTGACCACTGTTGTTCTCTCTACTGCTACGGGGTCAACTTGTGTAGCTTCTACAAGTGAGTGCAGGGGCCAGTGCTGTGGCACAACCAGTTATGCCACAAAATGGGTTGCTGGCATCCCATATGGGTGCCAGTTCAAGTCCCGGCTGCTCGTTTTCCATCCAGCTTCCTGCTAATGGCCTGGGAAGCCAGTGGAGGATGGTCCAGTACCTGGGCCCCTGCACCTGTATGTGAGACCTGGAGGAAGCTCCTGGCTCCTGGCTTTGGATCAGCTCAGCTCTGGCCGCTGCAGGCATTTCGGGAGTGAACCAGTGGATGGAAGACCTTTCTCTTTCTCGGGCACTACCTCTCTCTGTAACTCTTTCAAATAAATAAATATAAGTATTAAAAAAAGTGAGTGTAAGCATGGTGCTTGTCCTGCAACAGTCCTGCAACACTTAACCTGGAGCTCCACCCACCCTGCAGGTCCCACCCTCGGTAGAAGCCCAAGGGAAGTGCCAACTGTTGGGCAGACACTTGGAGCAGCAGTAGCAAGGCCGCTGGGATGCTCCCCTCCTAACACAGCGGGCGTCTGAGGGAGACCGTGGAGGGGAGAGCTCTTTCTCACTCTGTCTCTCCCTCTTTCCCTGTCTCTCTGCCTTCAAATCAGTAGAAACTGGGGCCAGTACTGTGACGCAGCAGGTTAATGTCCTCTCCTAACTCGATATCCCCCGCCCCCGCATCTCCTCTCTCTGTGTAACTCTGTCTTGCAAATAAACAAATAAATCTTTTTAAAAAATCAGTAGAAATCAATCATCCCCAGCACCATGAAAGCTGACTCATCCTCAGAGAGAACCCTCCCATGTCACAGTAGGCGATGCCCGGCCACAAGGGTGCTCTGGGCCCCTGGGTCAGGGAGAGGAGAGCCTGGCCCCGGAGTGGGTGAGTAAACAGTGCCCCTGTCCTGAACTGGTTCTAGTGTGGGGTCACGTTCACCCTGGAACCTTAGCCTGCAAACGTCTCTGCCAGGTGCACGGGGTCAGAGGAGACCCTGGGTTAGGGATGGGCTTCTGGATTGGCATCAGGGGCTTTGTAGTTTGCAGGTCCAGTTATCATGACTGGGGCCACCTGGTGGGGCAGGGAGCCGCTCTGCCAAGGGTCTGCAGCCCTGGAGACAAATGGTCCCAGGGAAGATTCCTCACTGTCGGGATCACTTGCTCCGGGAGCCTGGAGCCCAGGGATAGTCCTCAGTTCCCACGCCGCTGCCTGTCTTCCGGGCTGCCGACCAAGAGCTGCGCTGCTCAGAGCTCTTATGCTGGGTTCAGTCCTCTTCGTCCGGGTCCTTGGGCAGCCCCGACCCTCCCAGGCCTCAGGGGCCAACACTGTCACTTCTACCTGCTACAGCCGCCAGGAGTTGTCTTCCCGCAGCCGCAGGCACTAATTGCGGGACTGGGCAGATCTGACCCGGGTCCCTGTTGCCGCCTGCAGTATCCTCACCGTGTGCTGTGATGAGGAGGAGCAGCAGGAGCCCGCAGGCCATGGTGCGGAGTCACGCGCCCTGCTGGTGCGTCCCCATGGTCTGAGGCAGGTCCCCGTGTGCATTCTGTGCCCCAAAGGCTGCCTGTGGCACTCTAGGGGTGGACCCAGGCCCAGCCCAGGACCTGCAGGGAACAGGAGGTGCGAGCCCCAGGGGCGGGGCTTGGGGGCCTTGCAGGAGAGCAGGACTGAGAGGACAAGGCCTGGTGGGTGCCTCCCCTGGCTCCTGGCTCCTCCCCTGGCTCCTGCCTCCCCTGGCTCCTGGCTCCTCTGGGTGTCCAATCCCTCTCCTCAGTCCTGGAGTCACCAAGTTTACTGTCCTCGCCGGCTGACTCCAGGATAGTGTAGGGATGGACAGCAAGCAGCACTGGGCTGTGACTGGACACCCAGGAGGCCTTCTCTGAGAATATGTTAAAAAAATTATTTATTTAAAAGGCAGAGTTACAGAGAGTCAAGGAGACATAAGGCAGTGATTTTTTTTGTTGTTGCTTTAAGATTTGCTTATTTTACTTGAAAGTCACAGATACACAGAGAGAGAGGGAGAAGAAGAGAGAGAGAGGCCTTCCTTCTGCTGGTTCACTTCCCACATGGCTGCAATGGCCAGGCTGCACTGATCTGAAGCCAGGAGCCAGGAGCTTCCTCCAGGTCTCCCATGCGAGTACTGGGGCCCAAGGACCTGGACCAACCTCCACTGCTTTCCCAGGCCACAGCAGAGAGCTGGATCAGGAGTGGAGCAGTCAGGTCTTGAACCGGCGCCCACAGCGGATGCTGGCACTCAGGCAGTGACCTTACCCACTGTGCCAAGCTCTGGCCCCAGGGGAGAGATCTTGCTGACTTTGTGGCTCCAGAGAGCTGGCCTTGACCTCTGCTCAGCCCAGGGCTCTCTCAGCCACTATGACCTGGACTAGCCCAGGCCATGTCCAGAGGGAGAAACAGTATCTTGAGAGACCTGAGCCTGGATCAAGGTGTCACTATTTTAAAAGTGGCCTCCATCTTGTAACTTGGGCCTGAGCAGGCCCTGAACCCTGAGCCAGAAGCTCCTAAAAGCAAATAAATGAACTCCCCTTGCAATCAGCTCTCCTAGCAACAGCCAATTAGCAGATAAAAGAGAAATACTAGAGTTCCTGGTGTCTTCTCAAGGCAATTAAGGTGATGGTTAACTTCCCAAGACCCTGCAGTTTGGCACTACACCCCAGCAGCTCAGACCCTATACTTTAGCCAATCAATTTAATAGGCATCAACCCCAAAGCCATCTAACCACCTTCACTAGGTCCGTTCCCGCCACTGGATGCACCAATCAATTCTAAGGGATGTCCTTTGCATTTCCCACGGGATGAGATGATTTGCTAAATGGTACCATAATGTGTAGAATGTCTCTGAAAACCCTATAAAAACCCTGTTAACTGAAGAGTCGGGGCTCTCAATTCAAATCCGCTGCATCGGTCATAGTTGAGAGCCCAGGCCCGGACCTGCAATAAAACTCTCATGAGTTTTACAGCGGTATCGGCTCCTTGGTGGACTTTGAGGACAATCAAAGTGGGCATAACATCCTCAATCCCCAGGGACCTGGGACCCTCTGCCCTCCCTCCTCTGTGGGGACCTCACCAGCATGCATGTGTTCTGTCTTATGTGATAGTCCCTCAACCATGGCACACAGGGGGAACCTGAGCATGTGAGACACATGGAGGGTGGTCACACATGATACATTACCCTCAGAGCTTCCCCGTGACAGCGACGGAGAACAGTCCAGGATGCCCTGTCCCCACGTGGGCCTGACACTAGGGGGAGATGTTGCTCTCCTGCTTCTGGAAACCCATTCCCCACCCCTCCTGGCCTGCAAGGTGGCCTGGCCAGACCCCAGATCGGTGCTCAGGTCTGGGCTGGGCAGGGCTCAGAGTGACCGCGGTCCCCCCCTTCCTGATGTCTTGTTGCAGGAACCCCAACGGCGAGGGCCTGCCGCACTGGCCTGTGTTCGACCAGGACGAGCGATACCTGCAGCTGAACGTGCAGCCTGCAGTGGGCCAGGCCCTGAAGGCCCGCAGGCTCCAGCTCTGGATAAAGACCCTGCCTCAGAGGGTCCAGGAGCTAAGAGAGGCTCAGCAGGAGCAGGCAGAGCTGTAGTTCCCTGTGTCAGGGTGGCCAGGGGATCCAGAGCAGGCGGGGGCCTCCTGATGTGCCCACCCACAGCCACAAAGGAGCCATTCATTCAGCAATTCACGTGGCCAGGCACTCATCTGCCCTGTCCATTCAGTGAGCTTTGATTTACCTACCACATGAGGTCCATTGCCAAGCCTGCCCAGAGTCCTCTCTTGTGAGACACACTCAGTACACCCCCCAAAGCTGTACTAGGCAAAGCAGTGGAAGCCCACCCTCCTCAACACCCCACCCTCTCCTCCCCTCCACTGCTCTCCTCCAAAGGCCTTCCCCACGTGGAGGGAGGTGCACCTACCCCTGAGTGCCAGAAACCCTCCTCCTCCCAGCATGCCCTGTGACCTCACATCTGTAAGTGGTCAGCAGAGGACCCAGCCACCAGGAGCCTCCGTGGCTTCGTCCCTGCAGGGGCTGCCATGAGTGATGTCCTCCAATCCCATCCATGCAGCCACAACTGAAAGGTTGAATTCCTTTCTATGGCCAAGTAATACTCCTTTGGGTATATGTAGTCACCTGTCAACAGATACCCGGCAACATGGTTCCTTCCACTTGGACACAGCGACTATTTGCTTCAATAAACATGGAAGTGTAGGTGTATCTTTGCTATACTACTTCCAATTCCTTTGGATACACATGCAGCCATAGCACTTGTAGAATGGGTAGTAGATCTATGGTGAGGTATTTGGGAAACTCCTACAGTTCTCCACGAGTCTCCTTTTTTTTTTTTTTTTAAG